AAGGCTGAGCAGATGAGCTTCTCTCTGTGCTGAAGAACGGGAGGCCACGGAAGGGCTGCAGGGGGGCCTCTGGTAGCTGCACACAGAGGGGACGGTGACACCATGTGACAAGGACAGGTGCCCAGCACAGGCAAGAGTAAAGGAAGGAGCCCTGGGCCTGAGCCCGTACACTCAGCCCAGCTGGGGGAGACCTTGTATCCTGAGGGCCAAGCACACCCTCCGCTGCCCCCAGGACCACCGGGAGCTCAGCAGGACACCTGGGGTCCCCGTGGCTCCTGGGCCAGCTGCAGCCCTCACCTCAGGTAGCGGCGGATGGGCTCACAGGCCACCTCCAGGATGACCATGGAGGGATCCAGCACGCGCAGCGCCTTGATGGCAGAGATGTAGAGGGTGATGATGTCACACGTGTTGACGCCTACAGCCGGGGAGATGCCGGTGGTCATGCAGTGCCTCCCAGGGGCCAACGCCTGAGTGGGCTGCTGGCCACACCGGTCAGGTTGTCTACAGATCCCTGCTGCAGCCTCCTTTCCCAGGAGACCAATATGACCGCAGAAGCTGCTCCCCTCGTCTGCCCATCCCCCCATTCCCCCATACCCCCGTCCCAGCCTCTCCCTGCTCACAGGCCCTCCCTGCTGGGTAGTGTGTTCTGAGAGAACCAGGTCTCAACACCCCAGACCACCTGGCCAGTCCCAACTCCCTTCAAAGAAACAAGCAAGCTGACGGGTACCCCAGATCCCCTAAGCACCCCACCAATAGCTTCTCAACCCATTTCTTCCTTAGACCTGTAAGTCCAGGGCTAGAGACTGGGTCCCCAGCTCCCTGGACAGGAGCCCCCTGGTAGTGTCTGAGCCCTGAGGGCCAAGCAGTGGGGCAGCAGCAGCCAGCACACAGCACCTGGATGCAGCAGCCGCGTCTCCAGGGCGGCCTTGAGGGACACGAGCAGCTGCTGCCTCTGGTCTGTCCTCTCCAGGCAGTACTTGAGGTCCTCGATGGCTGGTCGGGAGTCTGGGAAGTCTACAAGTAGAGGGACATGCCTCAGGGACAGACACGGACACGTGCACATGTTGGGGGCTCGCCAGCCCTGGGACGAGGAGACTACCCACTAGACCCAGACGTCCCCCCAACATTTTGGCGTGCTGATGCATTTGACCAGAATGCCACAGGGTGGACACAGTGACAGCCAGGGGCCAGTCCCCAGCAGGAGCCAAGGCTGAGGGACCACAGGAGTAGACACTTAGGAGCACCACCCAGTGTTTGCCGCACCTGCCCGGATCCAGACACGGGGATGCCTGCAGAGGGAAGGGTACCAGCCCTGCAAGCGCGACAGGCAAAGGTGCAGGGAACCCAGACGTGGACAGGAGAAGGGACACAGCGAAGGCCCTGGGAGGGTACCCCAGACGGGAGAGTGGGTGGACCTCGGATGATGCTGAAGAGCTCCTCGATGCGCAGGCTGGCATAGATGCGGTAGAAGAACCTCTGCACATGGCAGCGCCAGCGGCGCAGGGTGTTGCCCGCCTCGGGAGATGCGGGCCTGGAGGGGCTGTCCTGCAGGAACACCTTGCCGAGCCAGCCAACCACCCGCTCGATCCACTGTCGGGAGAACACGAGTGTGAGCTGCAGGGAGGCGTGGTGAGCCCACACTGACTCGGAGGCTGGGAGGAGCCCAAAGGGGCCGTCTTGGTCCTCCTGCGAAGCCAGAGCCCAGTGCCCACACACGCACCAGTGCCCACACTTATCAGTGGCAACAGCAGCCCTAGCGCGAGATGTGACGGACATGCATGACCCGTGCGCTGGGCCTGGGAGGCACACTTGCCCCCACTTAAACAGATAAACCCGCCCTTGGGACTGGACGGGTGACTGGCCACCCCCATGCAGATGACACTGCACATCACAAGGGCATCTGAGTGAACACAAACCCCGAGCGGCAATTCCGCCACAGGGGCCCAGGCGTGCACATGCCGACAGGCGGCTACCCAGTGGCAAGACACACAGACGGTTCACCCTCTTCACCGTACTGCCCACTCTACCCCACCACCGTGGAGATGCCCACCCGCCCTCTTTGAAAGCCCCACATCTCGGCCAATCTGCACCTCAGTAGGTGGACCCCGCAGCACTGGGGAGAGGAGAGGTGTCAAGTGGGGCCAGGGTGGGAGTACCCACGTGACTGGGCCCAGCTCCCCCATGGCTCTGGAAGTGCAGAGCAGAGCCCCGGACCACACCCCAACAGCACAGGTACCTGGAGGCCCCGTGCAAGGGTGTTTGGCTCCCCTCTGTGGTGCGGGCTGGCTGTAGGCCAGTCCATGAAGGACCAGCCATGCAAGTCCACACTCAAGAAGGGCAGCGAGGAGAAGGGGTCACTCACTGGCCCCTCTGGTAGGCCTGGCCTCGCCACACCTGCCTGGAGCAGCCCCTTGGGATCCTGGCCCGGTACTGCTTGTGGCTGTGGGATTCTGTGCAGACCTGATGAGCACATCCCAGATGTGTCTTCACTGTCACCAGGGACCAGAAGTACCAGCCTCTACCCCACATCAAGGCAGCTCCAGGCACTGCCTGGGGCTGGGCCCACCATGCTCTGGCTGTTTCTGAAGCCAGGTGTCAGGTCTGGCACCCCCAGAGGGGCCCAGCTCAAGGGAGGGGTCCTCACCTTGTGGAACTCTCGCAGGAAGGAGCGCTCGTACTCGCCTCGGCATCGGTCCTCCATCCTCTCCCGGGTCACCTGGTGCAGGGTGGCGGTCACAGCCTCGGCACTGACCCGCTCCAGCAGACTGAGCCTGTGTCTAGAGAAGAGCCCTGGCCATGGGCACCCACGGCACACACCGGCCCCTCTAGCCCCGGCATGGGCACCCACGGCACACACCGGCCCTTCTAGCCCAGAACAGCCTCATGCCAGGACAGCCCTGCCTATAGCATGCATGTAGCACACATACACTCTCACAGTCCTCAGCTGGGGGTGGTGGTTGTGCCAAAGGCTTCAAGAAGCTTGGGAGCACTCCCAGGCTCTGCTGTCCCTGCCCAGCTGGCCTTCCCCATGTGATAAGTGGCAGCAGGTGTGGCTGTTGGGGGCCCAAGCCTTATCTCTTAGGATCAACCACCAATTACAATGCTACCCTGGCCACAGAAGTATGGATGCCACGGCACACAGATCTGAGCAAATTAGTGCCTTTCAGTGCGGCCTCTTGTCTAAAGAAGCAAAAGGACTCAAGACGAGGATGAGAAAGGTTTGCTGGGATGAGCCCAAGAGAAGCTCTTCACACTCTTCCTGATGCCTGTCAGCAACAGAACACTCCTTAGTCCACTGAGGAATCTCACTGAGCTGCACTGCTACGCCTCTGTTCAATGTGACAAAGTCACCCCAAATGGCCACCGAGGGTGTGACGATTGCTACAGGGCTACAACAGGACTTGTCTCTAACAACAAAACCCTCTCCAGAGAACCAGAAAGGGGACTGCTTGTCCTGACAGTGACCTGATCTCCCTGGAGAGAAGCAGCAGGAAGCTTCTGTTCACAACGACAGGGCAAGGTATGTCCACAGGGTGAGAATCATTCCTCCTCAGGGTCGACAAAAGCACAGTGGAATTCTGCAGAGTCCAGGAAGTTTGGAATTGCTAAGAAATTTGCTGCTGCAGACAAGCCACGTGGGCCCTTAGCCTTAGCATGACCCCATGGAACTGGATGTGAGTGACAGAAGAGAGACGCCTGCGTCCAGGACACACTGCACAGGAATCCCTGGGACTCTCTCTGTGTCATGTTCCTGGCTATCAGAACAGCTCACCAGCTTTCTGCAGAGGCCCGCTGGACCCAGGGTAGCAGCAGGGAACCGGAAGGAGCAGGAGCATGGCCATCGGGATAGAGTACTCACAAGACCTGGCTGAGCTGGTGGAACTGCTCCAGAGCTTGGCGACACCAACACTGCTGCTTGTCACTGCCGCACCCTGCACACAGCGGGCTCTGCAGGAGTCGGTAGTAGCGGCGGCGGGCATACCGGCTGTCCAGCTCCCCCTCAAGTTCCGGGTCTGTGCCCCCTTCTCCCTTCCTCTTACTCTGCATATAGACTCTCAAGAAGCGCCCATACAGACGCTGGATCATTTCTTGGAAGGTTCTGGGGGTGCTAAAGAACAAGACTCCGCGCAACATAGTGTGGACCTTTTCTCGCAGCCCCTGAGCACCAGTGCCCATCAGCAAGCCCAGGCGAGTCCATTTCTCCAGCAGCTCTAGGCTCCGCAGGTAGGGATCCAGGCGGCTCTCCAGCAGGCCAAAAGCATCAAGGAGCAGCAGAAGGCACTGGGGCTCATCCGCAGAGTTCTCGCGCTGGGAGATGGCATTCCAGAACTCAGGGGAGATGTTGGCCTGCAGATCGTTCTGCAGCACCTCTACGAACCACTCCTCCAGGACCGAGTGCAGGCCGTGGCCCCTCAGAACCTCCACCGCCGCCCGGAGCTCGTCTTCCTTTGGCGGGACTGCACCGCTGGTCCGTGAAGACACCTGGAGTGCAGAAAACCATGAGAAGAGGGGAACACAACGTAGAGGTGGGGAGAGGCGGGAAGGTTAGAAGCGGAGGGGAGGCTGCAAACTCCTATGCCCCTTGTCCGCGGTGCACGGGTGTTTAGCCGAAACTAGGGAAGGGCTGCCAGCGGAGCCGAACGAAATGGAACGGTGGAAGAAGGTGGCAGGACAGGACAGAGGCAGGTGACGAACAGAGCCGTTTGAACTCGAGGGTGGCCGCCCCAAAGCGCGTAGGGTCCCGGGAACTCCGCGCGGGGCCGCCGCTCTCTTCCCAGGCCTCACCAGCCCCAGCGCAGCCGGCGGCACCAGGCCGGTGCTCACGGTATTCCAAGCCAGTAACAACTCCTGTCCAGGCCGGGGGTCGCTGCCCCCCTGCACCGCCGCAGCTGCCGCCGCCGCCATCTGCACCGCCCCTGCCCCTTGATCCGCTCTGCTCCGCTCGGCGCGGCGCGGCGCGCGGCGATGACGCACATCTGGGGGCGGCGCGCAGCGATGACGGACACAAGGCGCGCAGCGATGACGCGCTACTTCGGCGCGTCGTCGGGAAGCCGTGCGCAGGCGCGGGTAGTGCTGCTGCCGCGGCGGTTGGGGCGGCGGGGCCCCGGGCGGCGTTGACCATGACCCAGCAGGGCGCGGCGCTGCAGAACTACAACAACGAGCTGGTCAAATGTGAGCGGCGCAGCCGGGGCGGGGAGGTCGGGAGGGGCGCAGGGCCGGGTTCCCGGCTCGCATCGGGGTGCCCCCTGGCCCCGCCTCGCTGCGGGCATCGCGCGGCTTGAGCAGAGCCCTCCGTGCCGGGGGCTTGGTGTCCGCGGCCCGAGCCCTCGCTAGCTCGCAGGCCCCGCGCCGGGCGCTCTGGGGTGGTGCCCGACTCTGGCTTCCTCGGGCGGAAGGAGGCCCGCCCTCCGCCGCCGCCCTCCTCCCCTGGGCCCACAGCGCCGCCCGTCCCGGCCCCACAGGCATTGAGGAGCTGTGCCAGAAGCGGGAGGATCTGTGCCGGCAGATCCAGCAGGAGGAGGACGAGAAGCAGCGGCTGCAGAATGAGGTGAGGCAGCTCACAGAAAAGCTGGCCCGCGTCAATGAGAACCTGGCACGCAAGATTGCCTCTCGCAACGAGTTCGACCGGACCATCGCGGAGACGGAGGCCGCCTACCTCAAGGTGGAGCTCGGGAGGCCAGGCGGAGCATCAGGGGGATAGCCACGCAGGGCGTCAGGACTGGCTAGGCCTCCCAGCTGTGGACAATCTGTGCCCTGCTGGCATATCGGGCTGGGGCAGCGTGGCCTGGGGCATCCTGGGTCCTGGTCTTTATCTGGTTCTCGCTAATCGTGTGGTTCTTTCTGCTCAGAGTGTGAGGAGCTAGGTCTTGGGCAGAGCACCCAGCATGGGCCAGTGCTAGCTTAGTCTGGCTTTGAGGGTGGGGAGGAAGTGCTTTGGGTCAGCTTCAGGAGGGAAGAGGGCCTGTCAGCCCGTCTGCCAGTCCGCCAGTCCCCTTGGGCTTCTCCCTTCCCCCAGCACAGGATCTGTTGGCTACAGCACCCACGGCCAGATCCTAGCACCTGAATGTGAGGACAGCTGGGCCTTAGGGCCTTCCCAATAGGTGAACAGTGACGAGCTTCTTTCTCAATTCTCTGGCCCCAGATCCTGGAGAGCTCCCAGACTTTGCTTAGTGTCCTCAAGAGGGAAGCTGGGAACCTGACCAAGGCTACAGCCTCAGACCAGAAAAGTAGCGGTGGCAGGGACAGCTGACAGGACCACAGGCGGGCCTGCCTCCGTGCGCCCCTCAGCTCAGCCAGGCAAGTCCGTCCTCAGCGCGTCTTTCATCATGGCAGCAGCTGCCTTCTCTCAACCTCCACTGGCATCGGTGACAAGCCCAGGACACAGCCCACCCGGGGGGGTGGGTCCTGGCTTTCTGCTCACACAGGCTATGGGAATGGTGGGCTCCAAGTCAGCTCTACAAGGGGCCTGTCTCTGAGGTACCCACTCTCCTGGACTGCCAGGGAGGCCCTGGTTGGAGTCTGAGCATCATGGGGGTCCCCCTACCTTGTCCCTCTTCAGCCAGGGCAGGCACAGGGGTTCTCCACCCCAGAACCCAAACCTCAGGGCTCACCCCTGTGGCCTGTGACTGTCAATAAAGATTATCTTTGTAAAGATCGGTGCCAGCCTGCTGCTTGCCTGTGTTAACAGCGTGGGACTGCCAGATACCCGCAGAGCCAGAGCCTGAGGCTCCCCCTTGGGAGAGGAGGCAGCAGAGTCTGGAGTGGCCTCTCTGTGATTGCCCTACTAGCCTCAGGGACACCACTGAGGGTGCCCACCCTGCCCAGGCCAGCCCCACCCTTAACCCTCCCCAGCAGGGCAGCCGATTCTTCCCCTGACTGGCCCCCCTCCTCTCAGGAGCTCTGCTCACTGGTCCTGTTCTCTGCCACACCTTGGCATCCAACATAGGACCCAGCCCAGAGAGACAGCTGGGGATGCCAAGCATTTTCACCCCTGCCTCAGGCCCAGGTCTCTCTCAGCAACGACTGGGGGGCTTTACACCCCCTGCCGATTCTTCAGCTGCAAGTTCTGCTTGGCCTGAGGACACCACTACTGCCGCCAGGGCCTGCTGTCTTCTCCCTGGCCACACCAGGTGCTGCCCACTTCCATCCTTTCATGTGCCCCAGGGCCCCCTGTCTTGTCCCTGCAGCAACCAAGCAGTGCCCAAGGACTGGGCCGATCTGGGAAGCACGTGTTGATCCAGAGGGTCCAGAGAAGAGCTGGGCACACCCTCACCAGGGAAATACACTAAACTCCCCTTCAGCCAGAGTCTGGCCAAACAGCGTCTCTCTGCTCTGGGGTTGATTCTCCAGGGAGGAAACAACCCCAGCTCTGGCCCCTTGTGGGTCAGGGGCACGCCAAGTGCAACAGGAGATGGCAACTCCTGTGCTGCCCTTCCCTTCGTCCCATCCCAGGCTCTGGGCCCCTCAGAGAAGCCACTTCAGGCCCAACAACTGCAACGCTCTCCCCTTCCCACGTGAGGTCTAGGCCCCAACAGCAGGCCCGGCATCCCACCTCCGCAAGGTCGAGGGCAACAGGTTAACAGGCTATGGAAGTTGGGGGTCAGAGCCTGGGCCACTGGGGCATTGAGGCATGAGGGCACCAGACCGTGGTCACCTCCCACACACCCTGGCACAGATGTACAAGCTGGGCCCACTGCACCCCAGGTGGCTTCTTCCCACAGAGACCTGCCCCTGCTCCCCTCCAGCCAAGGATCATGCAGTGTGGGCACCAGCAGCTTGGTACAGTGCTGTTTATTGTGTCCGTCATCAGAGGCAGGACAGAAGCCACTCGTCACAGAGGGCCAGGCTGAGGGCTGAGGGGTGGGACAGGGAACAGCCCGGTGCAGAATCTGCACAACTCCATCCCCACTCCCGGGTCACAGATGGCTACCACCCAGCAGGCCCCTGGCCCTCACCCATGGGCAGTGCCCCACCTCACTCCCTCTCAGACCCCTCCAAACTAGGGCTGGGGAGAGAGACCCAGACCTGGCCCCGACAGCAGGAGGCACCCTGGCTGCTTCCAGGGCAAGGGGGGTTGGGGATACAGTGAGACCAGACAAGGCAGAAAGGTGCAGTAGTCCCTGGCCACTGCCCAGCTTCCAGGACTCCCACAGCTGGGCTCAGCCTTGGTCCTGGCAGTGCTGGGCTCAGAAGTACAGGGCTGGCTCACTGCGGAAGTCCGAGAGGTCGTTCTGACTGGCAGGTGTCAGCTGAGAAGAGAGGACAGAACGTGGGCACATGGGCTCACCCAGCCGTCAGAACCCCCAGCACTCCCGCTCCGCAGCTCACCATGGCCTCCAAGGGTGGGGACTCTGCATCCCTCGGGGCCTGCTCCAGCGCCTGCTCCTGCCACTTGCTGAAGGCCACAGAGTGCTTCGGGGTGTAGCTGGACAGGCCTGTGGACCGAGGAGCCCAGGTGGACATGAGGACATAGACCAGGCTCTGCCCCTCCCAGGCTGCCCGACCCCTAGGTGGGCACTCACCTGAGCTACCCTCGGGCAGCCGAGAGCTCTCGGACCTCACGCTGCTCACAAACGTGGCCCGGGGCAGGAAGAGTGCAAAGGGCTTCTCCTCTGAGCAGGACCCTTCCTCCTCCTCTTCTTCTTCCTCCTCCTCCTCCTCCTCTTCCTCCCACTCCACCTCTTCCTCCTGCGCTAGGGAGCTCTCAGAAGGGTACTCAAATGTGGTCTGTAGGCTTTTGTCATTGAAGGAGATCTTCATCTGGGAGGGAAAGTCCAGTGAACCAGGGCTGCATGCTCAACTGGACACAGCAACGCCAGGGACTGGGGACGTAAACCAGGGCAACGCCAGGGACTGGGGACGTGAACCAGGGCTGCGTGCTCAGCTGGACACAGCAATTCCAGGGACTGAGGACGTGAACTGGGGCTGCGGTGCCCAGCTGGATGCAGGGATGTCAGGGGCTAGGGACATGAACCAGGGCTGCGTGCTCAGCTGGACACAGGGATGCCAGGGGCTGGAGACGTGAACCAGGGCTGCGGTGCCCAGCTGGATGCAAGGATGCCAGGGGCTGGGGATGTTAACCAGGGCTGCGTGCTCAGCTGGACACAGCAATGCCAGGGACTGGGGACGTGAACCAGGGCTGTGGTGCCCAGGTGGACGCAGGGATGCCAGGGGCTTGGGTTCAGCCCTCAGGATGAGGCCGACCCAACTAGGGAGCGCATACATTATCAACCCTTGGGGGGCTCCAGGAGTGGGGGAAGACCTCTCCATCTGGACCCTGCAAGCTGTATCCATCCCCTCCACCCAGGGGGCTAACTTCCCCTCCCACCCCAGCCAAGGACCAGACTCTGACCAGGACCAGAAGCCCAAGGCCTCTGGGTCCCCAGAAGCCTCTAGAGCTGCTCCCTGGGCTGCCATCTCAGGACCCTCCTGCTCTGCCATCTGGACATAGCACCAGCTGGGGGGAAACTGGGTGAGCACATCCCCCCAACCAAGCAGCTCTATAGCAAGAACAGGGTGGAAGTGAGGCTGTGCCCTCAGGGGCCTTACACTCTAGGCTCCAGGCAGCCCCTGTTGGTGTCTGGGGCGTCTCTCTAAAGCCAAGTTCATGTCCTGGCTTACTGGATGCATGAACAACCCAGCAGAGCACAGACCCTCACTGCTAACGAGGGCCTCTGTAAGGCATCAAAGCTGGGTGGAGGCCCCAGGCACCACCCACCTAACAGCTGAGAGTGTAGAGTGGGGGACACCTCCACTGAGCCTGGGTGCCAGTGACCCCATCAATGACCCTTCCCTCACCTTGCTGCCGCCCTGGCCCTCGCCCACTATGCCCACTTCATAGGCTGCAGGATTTCACATCAGAGCAAATTCTTTCCTTCTCCCAGCGGCCTTGAAGCCCAGGCAGGCCTGCTGGTTCCCAGAGGCAATGGGGGCAGTGGGGACCAACGGTCAGGACTCTCCACCTCCCCTCCCTGACCGGGCTTGTGTGGGACAGATGAGCTCCCACCAGGCCAGCTAAGCTGCACTCAGCCCGGGACAGCAGTCCCTGATGAATGTGAGTGGCACCCGCCTGCAGCAGATGGAGGAGCCCAGCCAGAGCTGGAAATATTAAACTCTTCCTGGGCACAGGACACCAGCAGCTCAAGTTCCTCCTCCTCCCCTAGAAGGAGCCGGAGGTAGGAGCCGGGCCCCAGGCAGCGAACTGCTGCAGCCAGGGACAGGAGGGCAAGAGGTGGCCTCAGGAGGCAGCCGAGGCAGCCACACAGGGCTGCCAGGACAGGGCCCAGGGCACACACTCCCGCCATCATGCCCTCTCCGGCAGCGGCCACACAGCCCACACAGCCAAGCGCACTATTGGGCCCCTTACTATGAACACAGCTGGCGGGGGGGTCCACCCTTTGTGCCCAAACCTCCAGCTTCACCCCTCAGCACAGCCCACACAGAGCCCTGCTCAGCCACTCAGCTACCTGCCTGCATTCCCACCCCAGGCCATGGCACCCCAGCCATCTGCACTGATGAACAGGGACCGGGTAGGCCATCTGGATCAGACAGAAGAAGGTGTCGGGCATCCGCTCCTGTTCCTTAACTGCCTTGCCTGCAGCTAGGTCCACCCAGCCCTGGCCCTCCAGCAGTCACCCCACAGGCGGCCAGGCAGGCAGAGGCTGGGACAGTGGATTGGCCACCAGACCCCACAGGCGCCCACCCACTTCCAGCCTGCTTAGGAATGGGTCACCCAGCCCTCCCAGACTCATGCTTTGGGACAGATACCCCAGGTGGAGGTGCTCCAGGCAGGACGAGGCTGTTGGGTCAGAGGTCACCCACAGCCCCAAAGCCCCAAAGCAAATGGGGCTTCCAGCCGCCCTGGTTCCGTGGAGCTCACCCAGATGACCCTGAAGCCCTCCAGGCCCAGCCCCCACGGCTGAGAACACAGCAGGGCCGGCTAGCAGGGCCGGCTGCCAGGGCCTAGGGATTAGCACCCTCGCTCATGCACATGACCGGTCCCAGCAGGGGAGCCACGGGGGCTGGGTGCACATGGGCCCTGAGCCTGGTACAGCCTGGCTAGGCAGTGGGGGCAGGGTGGACAGGCAGCCCATCTGCCCTCAGCTGGGGCCCAGGGCTCTGGTCACGTCCTGCCTCCCCAGGTCTCCTCAGCTGGGCTGGTGTCAGCTCAGCCTAACAACCCTCCCCCCGCACTGTGGGGACAGGTCAGTGGGTCACAGGACACCCCATGACTCATGCCATGAGCAGCCTGCAGACTCGAGGATGCAGGATGGGCAGAGGGTGTGGCTGGAGGCTGGCACTGCACACACCTGGCCATAGCCTGTCAGGGACTGCAGGCAACACAGCAGGCAGGTGGGTCCCTAAGTCGAGCTTCCGGGCACAGCCTCGGCCTTTCAGGGCCCTTTTGTTCTTGCTCCACCCACCTACCTGCACACCTACCCTGCCTAGCTTTGGTTACCAAAGGGCCTCCACCTGGGACAAAGGGCCCAGCAGCCAGGACCAACCTGCCCAGATGGAGGTGTGAGCTGAGCCCAGCCCTGCCCCTCTTTCCCTGGGTGTGGCTGCCAGCCTCCCAACCCCCATTCGGCCCCAGCCAAAGCTCCCGTGGGTGGCGAGACACTAGACCAGGCTGCTGGGTGCAATGTCCACAGC